ATTATGTAGTCTGTTTCAATACACCTTAGTTTTCTTCATTTATTACTGTTTAAGTTGGAACTTTGCAGATTAAGTCTGGACTTGTGATTCTATGATAATAATTGTGGAATTGGGACTTATTCCATCTGAATTCCATATGGAAAAAGTATGGATTCCATCTAAAAAAGTATGGATTCCATCTGAAAGAAGTATGGAGTCCATCAGCTATTCCATGGAATCCATCTCCAGAAAGTATGGAGTCCATCAGCCATTCCATGGAATCCATCCCCAGAAAGTATGGAGTCCATCAGCCATTCCATGGAATCCATCTGGAATTCCTGGAATCCACCCCCCTTCCATGCATTCCATATGGATTAAGCCGGGGAGGGTAAAGTACAGCCCTGAATCTATGTACTTATTCACAATAAACCAATGATACAGCAATGGCAAAATGACCACCCTTCTCACTCCTTCAACCATAGACCCATGAACATGAACCCACTACAAAAACCCATGGGTATTGCACCAATGGCCCATACTCAACCTCTAATGTACCTGTACCCACAACCCATTTTGTAGTCTAAAAAGCGGACACTACAAAGTTCTGTAGTCTAAAAAAAGGAAACTACAAACATTTGTAGTTGAAAAAGCGGACAATATAGAATTTTGTACTCTCAACAAGCAGACACTGCAAAATTTTGTAGTCTAAAGGCGAACTTTGTAGTCACAAAAAGTGGACAATACAAAATTGTGTAGTCTAAAAAGTGGTTACTACATACTTTTGTAGTCTGGAAAGCATACACTACAAAATTCTGTAGTCTCAAATAGCAGACACTATAGTCATCTTTTCAGCCAGATTTATGGACCATTGACACTCAGCATACTAATTACAACTCCAGACATGTTTTCAGCCAGATGTTTGGAGCACTGAAATCCGGGCATTTTTTCGGCCACATTTTTGGGGCAATTCCAATGACATTTAGCATGTTAAATACACATCTGGATGTTTTTTCGGCCGCATTTTCGGAGCAGTGACATTTACCAAGTCAACGACACATCCAGACATTTATTCAGCCGCATTTTTGGGGTTATGTCATTCAGCATGTTAAATACAAATTCGGATGTTTTTTTGGTGGTGTTTTCTGGCAATTGAAATTCTAAATTTTGGACATTGGAGTATTCCATGGGGGCCATCTGGCCCCTGTCAAACTTACATTTGAAATTTCGGTCATTGGTGCACTCTGCAGGGATCATTATATCTGGATGGAAATGACATACACATTTTCGGACTTCAGAGCATTTCAGGGGGGCTGTCTGGTCTATGTCAAGATTACATCTGAAATTTCGGACATTGGTGCACTAATACAAATCCGGATGTTTTTTCGGCCGCATTTTCGGGCACTTGAAGTACTAAATTTCAGATATGGAGCATTCCACTGGGGTTGTCTGGCCTCTGTTAAAATTACATCCAAAATTTTGGATAATGGTGCACTCTACCCAGATCATTATATCCAGATCGAAATGACCTACAAATTTTCATACTTCAGAGCATTCCATGGGATTTTTCTAGTCTATGACAAAATTGCATGCAAAATTTCGGACATTGGTGCACTATTTGGGGATTATATCCAGATGGAAATGACCTACCAATTTTCAGACTTCAAAGCATTCCATGGGAGTTGTCTAGTTTGTGTCAAAATTAAATCCGAAATTTCGGACATTGGTGCACTAATACAAATCCGGATGTTTTTTTCGGCCACATTTTCAGAGAAGTGACATTCACCAATTTAATCCCAAATTTGGACATTTTTTCGGCCACATTTTCAGAGCAATGACATTCAAATCCGGACATTTTTTCAGCCACATTTTTAGGGCAGTGACATTCACCTCAACCACAAATCTGGACATTTTTTTGGCTGCATTTTTGGAGCACTGGTATTCCGCATGCTAGTGACAAATCTGGACCCTCCTTCAGCCGCATTTTTGGGGCAGTGACATCCAACATGTCAACCACAAATCCAGACATTTTTTCAGTCGCATTTTCGGAGCACTTGCATTCAATCAATGCATATGTTGTATGGATCCATTGGTCCCAGGGATGGATCCATAGTGTCCATGTGTATTGGGCCCATTGGGGTAGACCTATGACTTATTGGGACAATTGTCAATTTCAATTGTTATGGTACTATAGTGACATCTATGTATACTTGTGGCACATCACATAGATGGCATCCATCCACATTTCATGTGAAACCCATGCACATCCTGCGCACTGCATAGACATACATTCACATTTCACACGAAACCCATGCATTCTATAGACATGCACAGGATCCACACAAATCACATGTGCATTGCACAAGGACACCAACATACCTGGGTGCTACTTTCCTGGCCTACTCCATGCAGCCCACAGTCTGCAATAAGTGTGGATTCTAACTGCTGCAATTGAACACCAAGGTTCAGGGTCTAATTTGCATATAAACCATAGTGAGTCTCAATCCACAATCTTAAATTTCTTGATTTTGGGATCCTGACAATGAAGGATGGTTTTGTATGTCCTCCCTGCTTCAAAAGAGACAGCAAATTGGTCTCCTATGTATGTTTTTGATTTAATTTCCTTCCCACTAATATTTATTTGGCCCTAGCCATGGAAATTCCAATCCTGTGGTGC